TGTACTCGTACTCAGTGTGACTTGCTCCTGTTCGGCATTCGGAATCCAAGACTTCGACTTTGTGTCCTTGCCCGTGTGTCTGCGTCCGACCCTCAGTCGTGTCGAGTGAGTGAGTGTGTGTGTGTGCTCTCACTCTCTCCCTCTCTCCTCTCCCTCGGCTCTCCCTGTCTCCCTCAGCCTCCCGCTCGTTACATGTGGCCCACAGAGATGTTAGCCCGCTTCACAGCTTGAGCGGCTTCCACTTGGCGCGACTTCCTCGCCCTTCGTACTCAGCGGGGCGTTCACGCGAGTATGACGTACGCGGAGTTTCGTGATTTTCTCCAGAAGTACTTCTCTCGCCCGACGCCTACTCGTGACCCGATCACACGGGTCGCTGAGATCAGATGGCTTGGTGGCAACAATGCCTTAGAGTCGTACATCACGACATTCCACCGCGTTCGCGCCCAGATTCCCCCCTCCCTCATAGCCGACGACACTATGGTCCAGCATTTCCGTGCTGGGATACCCCAACCCTTCCAGCTTCAGATGCTGGCATACACAGTCCACACCCTCCCTGAGGCCTTCAACATTGCCAGGGCCATCCAGCTCACCTATGCACCTCTTGTGGGCTCCACTTCTCAGCCTGGTGCTGCATCTCCCGCTGCCACGTCTGCCCCTGGCACATCTCGCCGTCGACAATTCTCCACGTCTCGCCCGGCCCCCGCCGAGTTCTTGGATGCTCCTTCTGCCGTGTCCAGATCATGCTCCGCGAGTCGTCGAGCGCGGAGGAGGGTACTGGTTCGGATGGATCCCATAGTGACCCGGACGAGGAACATGACCCCCAGTCTCTTGTGGATGGTGACGATCCCGGCCAGGACGAGCACCTTGCCCGCGCCTTCTCTACTTTCCTCAGGCAGCGCCAGTCTTCCTCATCGAGGACCCGCTCATCGGCCACACAGCAGCCCCTCCCATCGGGCTACGTCTCCCCCGGGCCCGATTGACTATCGCGGAGAGTGAGGACTTCCTTACACGAGGTATATGTACCCGTTGCCGCCTGCCTGGTCACACTCCGTCCACCTGCCCCTACGCTGACGCCCTCCAGCGTCACTTTGCTCAGCAGTTCCCCCTCAGCCCGACCCCCCCATGTCGACCTCCAGCGCCGCAGCCACCTAGCGGCGATCTCCCATCCCCCTGATCCTCCGACAATAGCAGGCATACCTGCTCGCGAGTCTACCTTCGCGCCGCTTGCTACTCTTTCTGAGGACTCGGGCTTGACCTTATCGTTGGTCGATCCTAGCGACACCGGTGCACCCTCCCCTTCTCCGCCTAACGTCTCTTGCGATCCTCCTCCTCCCCGTCCTCCTACTAGGCGTGCTCTATGCACGGCCCGCTGTAGTGCTTCCCTTGTTGCAGCCGAGGATATCATTGACTTCCTGGACCTCGAGTGCGTTAAGGTCCACTAGGAACGTCTCCGCCTCAGAGAGCATACCCTGTCTGCGATGTCTCAGTGCCTACACAATCCCGATCGCACCGTACCGATTATTCCAGTGTGCCTCGGGTCCTCTACTAGAGTGTATCGCGCACTATGGGACTCTGGCTCCACTGGCGATTTCATTCATCCTCGCGTAGTTAAGGAGGCATCTCTCTATACATCCGCCTACCCTTCCACTGTCACTGTCACGCTTGGCGACAATCATGCCAAATCCTTCGTCGACTGTGTGGTGCCTGATCTCCCATTCTCCTTTCCCTTGCGGATGCCACAGAGCCTTCGCAAGGCCCCTCGGTTCCATGACCAGTGGACTTTCGACGTCATGGAAACCCTATACGACCTTGTTCTCGACACCTCCTACTCACATCAGTTCGCCCATTCTGACCCCGATTGGATCCACAACGATCTCGTCCTCGACGCTAAGGATGGGAAGCAATATCGCATTCCGTTGTTGGGCAAATCGGACTCTACACCCCCCTCTCCTGTCAACGTCGCCATCTTGACACCTACTCAGTTCCACCACATTCTTTGTCAGCCTGATGCCGAACTCTACATTGTCGACATCACAGATCTCCTTGTCTGCAATTCCATGCATCAGGACGCTGAGCTGGTCGAGCTCGACCCACCGAGACTGGAACAATCCGATTAATCCTGCCGACTGCCACGTGAGCATGTTGTGCAGGTTACTTTTTTGTAGAATATCAACGTGGCAATCAGCGAGATTAGTGCTCAATGCCATGTCAGCATGACTGATTCTCTCTCTCTCTCTCTCTCTCTCTCTCTCTCTCTCTCTCTCTCTCTCTCTCTCTCTCTCTCTCTCTC